ATGGATGAAACACCAGTATTGATGTCAGTACGTTACCTATCCCACATGGATGAAACACCAGTATTGTATACCCTATAGTGCCATACCTATCCCACATGGATGAAACACCAGTATTGTATACCCTATAGTGCGATACCTATCCCACATGGATGAAGCAATGATATTGATACTAGATAGTGCGTACCTATCTTACATCGAAATGAACAGCGCTATTGTCTACAAGAGTGATTTACCTATCCTGTCGCCACGAGTTCCCTGTGCGCGAGTATGGAGCMATCACASTCTTCTAGTAAATGTAYGAGTTATCTGTAGTTTTAAGCGATATCTGGACGGACAAGTAAAGTAGCAAGATTTCGTTCGCCTTTTTCGAAACTCCATCAGTGTTGGGGACCCGATTAGGTATATAATGCATATAAATTTGGTAAGAGATATGCTCAGTTGAACATGAGATACTCGATCCATGGAATAACAAAAAATGTCTTTATTTCATAGTCAATTTGACACAATTGTTATGCATTGAGGTGGAATTTTGCCTAGCAGGGTAGGAAGAAGTTATAATCGGGATAAATTTATSTTCTGTATGAATTTAATATGCTGGATAAGGATTTATCCGATTGATAGCGTTACTCATTCGTCATACAACCTACCACAGAACAACAGAAAATGACAAACCTTCCCGTTGCCATTGAATAGAGGGAGTTGGGGGTAAGTTGCTACGGGACATGGCTACGTAAGCTTGAGGCTTTAAATATGCAAAAGAAAATGACTGACACAATTAAGCATAATATGAATCACCATTTGATTTCCTTTTATTKACCGACAAAACATACGCCCTTCATTTCTTGTGTTACAATATTATTTCGTGTTAGATATTTGATTGTGTGCTTGTCAACTTTATTAGATGCTAATGGTTGCTATACCTTTTTGATGTTGTTGTTGTTAACCATGAAATCAATACTAACGGCTAGGTGATTGGTTTGTTCATTTAAAGGCCGAATYAAACGACTGAGACAACTTTTGCATGCAATCATCGCATACGACCTGCGTTAGTCATCCTTACGAAGTGGCTACAACTGTCGTGGGACTATTAAACAGTTKTTGTAGCTGTGTTGTAAGGATGACGTACACATGCGATGGTCGTAAGCAAAAGTTGTGCCATCTAATTCGGCCTTTACATAAACAATCCAAGATTTGTGATGAGACATCAATACAGACTGGGGCGGGGGAGGGGGGGCGAGGGGGTGACCGGTGACCGCAACTGTTGGCAACAAAATGATCACCACTTTTATTGAGTTTATAGATATTCTTAGACACCGACACTCAAATGTATAGTAACATCAACTAGAATGAGTCAAGCTTTGTTCAAGTAGAAGTATACCGTTACTAAACCAACCTGGGTCTATAGAATTCTAAAACATGACCTCACTCTAATATGGCAGTGCTGTCCAGAATATCCATAAGAACACTGGGTACCGCCATTTGTCCTCAATRTAGCAGCTAGTTTTATTTCATGGTCACCTATCATAATCATTGGTATCAAGTGATTTTTGTCGTACTGTGGTACACTAAGAGTCTAATATAGCTTGCTTGCCATTTCACAAATTCGATAAAAATCACACTATTTGTTTTAGGGTTTAGTTTGTGCACACGCTCGTTGACTTTAAAGGMTTTATGAATCCGTGAAATAATCTGYCGCAATAGACCCTTTAGCAATTCTTTTATTTTCAATCGTTTTTCACGGGTTCATGAAACGTTCTCTAGTTTAGGCTGAATACATTTGCACTGAATGAACACTGATAACAAACCGCCTCAACCCGCGAGACATCGGAACGCTTGCATTTCGTGCAGTTCACAATGGGTGAATGCCTTAAAAATTGCAAAGAAAGTAGCTTGAGGGGTGATGCACGGTGTGAAATAGCATTGCAAGTTGCTACAATGTATTTCAAAGTGTTACACTTTTACACTCCAGCAAGTCGCCTCTGTCGTGGCAAATTTGCTGAGAAGACTGCACAGTGTAACAGTTGCTTGTTTACAGTTCTTACTGAAAGACAGGTATCAAAGTGAGTACAAGGAAGAAATCATTATCATTGTTTTCTCAGTGCAATGGAAATTATTGAAAGATATCATCATATTATGAAAACCCTATAAACTTAACTAGATATTTCTGTCTTATACACTATTTTTATCAAAAATATTATACTCTTCCCTGGAATTGTTTTTTTCTCGTTTGTTCATCTAAATTCATCGATGACCAAAACTACTGTTGCCAAAAATAACATCTCGATATACATGTAAAACTAAATGAATGATATTCCTCTAGTTTCCAGTCTTCTTTTGCTCRTGTTAATAAGCCTCGATTAAATGAAAACTACTAAAAAAATATCGTAAGATTTACTCTACCTATTATTACCTAATCTTATTTGAAATAAAATAGTTTGCAAAATATAAGCTATGAGTCCAATACTAGCAAGGTCCGTCACGTGATTGCCCTGAGCAAAACACAACTGGAAAATAGAGGGAGAGGTCGTTTAGTTTTGTGTTAACATTCAAATGCTTCGAAGCGAAGCTTGGTGGCTTACAAATAAAACCGGCCAAATCATCAGCAATAAAATGAATAATATTATACCTTAGTGGCGACTAGTGAGTCTCTACGTGTTTGGAAGATCTCATGTTAATCTAATCAGATGAACTATTTTGTATGTCGGATATTTATGGGATGTATTGAAGATTGATRGCAGATATTCCAAATTTCCAATCTTTGGCATTTTTATTTCATAGCATATCCCGAACTAGCAAAAGCAATGCGATGGTTATTTGACCATTTTGTAAAAAGCCCGAGTCTAATGTCGCACTGAATATGTCGATCAAAAATTATTCGATTCAAATCACGTGTCGGTGATAGAAAGTCGTGCTCAAATAGCTACGTCATACAAACTGTTATGTCGAGCTTGATGGAGTTAAACGATGTACTCATTGACAAAGAATTCACAATGCGACTCATGTATGGTGCGACGTTTGACCAAGGTCTTGAAACAAAATTTATCTTTTCAAATAACAATATGCTCAAAATGTCTTATAAAGAATCTTTCTCAAAAAAGAGACCTGAGCTCATTTTTCTTTTAAAGTGCACCTAAACCCTGAAAAATGACRTTTTTTTCTAAAATTAGGGAGGTTTCTTGGAACTTTGGCGAAAAAAACGATTTTATTGTAATCCCGATTTTTTACAAATTCTTTTAAGAATTTTTAAGGATTTGTTTAAAAACATGCAAGAAAAGGTACTTCCAGCTCCCTGTGGTTGACAAACAATTCTGCAGTATCACGTGACTTGTGACATCAACCCAGTAGAGCGGATTTTGTATGAGTGGGACACCGTTACCGCACGGTTACCGCACGGTTACCGCACGGTTACCGCACAGTTACCGCACCTGGCCTGCACAATTTTGGTGAACCAATGGGGCACTAGAATTTGATTACAGTACGATTACAGTCACAGTACAGTACCGTCCGTTTCCCACTCATACGAAATCCGCTCTATCAGATACTGCGAAACCSTCATGTAAACACTGTTGGTAGTAGAGTTTTCAAAGATTTTTGAATTAAAAATGCCGAATCGGTGTTGTTTACGGTTGTAACAACACACCAAATATCAGAGAAGGTATTGTCTTATTGTGTGGGTTGACGTCACACTCGTTTCCATACTTCTTTCGAAGCTCTCCATCCGAAATCCACCTTAAAACATTTGCACAAAATCAGGAATTGAATGAGATTGAGTCATTTTCTCGCCAAAGCTCTTAGAAACTTCCCAAATTTGAGAAAAAAAATGTCATTTTTGAGGGTTTAGGTGCACTTTAAAGAAAGGCAGGAACTGAATATTATGTATCTATAGTTATCATATGTTCTGATAAAAGACCTTTCCTGCATTCTCTTTTTGATTACAGTTCGTCAGCACCAAAAAAAACATTAAAGCTATCGCCACTACTTAGCTACTAGTCCTTGCCCTATTTAAGTCAAAAACGTTTCCTCCAAACCTAATCATGGACAATTCGCTACGTTGTTTTACTGTAGTTAAAATATTCTTTGTCAAAATAATTTTTTGGTTTATAAGCTGTTTAATAGTATTGATAGATTTGGACTGCAGAAAATAATTCTCTATCTCTTGATTACAGTTGATTAGCCCATTACTTAAAGACCAATATACTGATAGAATGTAACGGTACAAAATGATTTTCTCTTGAATATTTTCCTAGTTCATCGCAGGAAACTCGTGTCGTGCTTCCTTTAGCAAGTAGAGGAAGAGGAGAGGACTGGCCTCGATACTATTCTTGCTTGCTTGGTTGCCAATCAAGCAACACAGGAAGTACCGAGTCTCCTGTGAAGGAGGATGCCTATAACCACGACTACGAACAGTAAATATGCTAACAGAGTGAAAACATTCAACATTAAATCAGAAAGAGAAAAAGCATAAATTTGACAGACCTTGTGACATGATGCGTCAAATAGATCGCCTGACTTCGTGCCGTGAGAGACTGGTTACAATTCCCTTAAATGGTATGATGGTGAAAGAAGACTATATATCAAAATTGTTTTTGAATCACATCAACAACGAACGATTTACTGGCTTTAAAAAATGTTAGAATTTCTGAAGAAATGTATAGAATGCTGGTTGCGTCCGCATTTTTCCACATTCCCGTACATTTGTTACTAAAAATCTAGCACTTTTGAAAAGCTATCAATTGTTCACTTTTGATCTTCATGATTAACACCAAACTTCTTTAGGACAATGTGATCTTTTTTTTAAACAATAGAGAAGTTGAATCACGAGAGCATTATGAAGTGATAGCTGCCCATGGAAACTGAATGTTCTGAAGAACAAATGGAAAACCTATGAAGTTTTGATGAAAATCTGGTGTAGTTTCCAAGGGCAACTATCAAAGCAAAATGCCCGAGATCTTCGTTGTTATCTAGTATTATTCAACAACGACATTTTCTAAAGCAAGCAAAATTCAGCTAGCTTGCTTTGCAGGCAATTTATATTCATGCTCTTGGTAAATACTATAATTATGTATTCAGCGAAGTTGTCGATCATAAATATTGAAAGTCTGCAAAGCAGTCTAAAATTAGTGGGCTCTATGCACTGATATAAAACCTCTGCGGCAGACACTATCGCGTCACGTGGTCGACTCTCGACCATTGAGTGCGAAGGAAAATTTCTACAGACTAACCTCACCATCATGCAAATTAAGCGACTTATACCAAGTCCCACAAGGTCAATCAAAAGAGGCAACAGATTCTCGTTCCCGAGAGCGAAAATCGTCCCTTTGGTCGTCCATATGGATCTGCGTCACGCGCAGGGRTGCCATTACATGTTTTTATTGCAAACACTATGCTTTCACTCTAAAAGCTACAACTAGAACCCTTTCTAATGAGATTATAAAGATATTCACTAGACATTCGAATTAGCTTGAAAACATGACGTCATATATCCCACATTAGCCGAAAAAATATTTTGGTAAGCCTTACCCGAGGCTATAAGTCAACTTCCAGAGTCGCTCCTTACCTTGATATAATATAATAATAATAGTAATAATAATAATATATATATAATTCTCTGTTATAATACATTACAAGATAATATATTAGCTTTCGTAATTATTTTGAATAACAGATATGGAACGATATTGATGTGGATTTTTTGATAATCCTCGATATATACGTATTTCATTTATAGACTTTGATAATGAAAGTGGTCAAACTCCAGAACGATAGCCTGCGTCACATCCGGACAAACTTTCGGTTCGAAAGTTTGTCCGGATGTGACGCAGGCTACAGACCGATAGCCAAATTACACTTGAATTTCATAATCCTTCCTCTCCRACATACTCATTTCTTAATGTTTGTATTGACAAACTGTGAAGGTAGTCCCAGAATGACGATTTTCTGTTATCACTAGCAATTGAAACAGGTATATAAACGATTTAAAACTGTCCGAATAGTATTCCATATCTTTTTAAAACAGAAAGATTACTTTCTGAAGACAGTTTGGCATGAATAGAAACCTTCTCTCCAATGAGAGACTCCTTTACAAAAAGGGAGTACTTTGTTTTACTTTGATTAGTAGTTTCAGAAGATTACATGTCAAACCATGGAATATTCTGCAATTAAATTTTAGTTTGCTTACGACGTTCTAAAAAAATAAATACATTAACATCAGTATGATCACTGTTAAAATGCACCAGAACAGTACCTAGTTTGCAAACTTCACCTCAGTCAGTAAGTTACTATTCGATACCGAAACAGCTCAATTGTTAGTTGCAAAACATTAAATAATAATATAAGTTATTAGAAATAAAATAAATTAATCCTTTTTCGATTAAACCTTCGTCAAAAGTTCAGTAAACCCCCGATGGACACCCGTGACTATATAACAGATAAATTATTTACATCTCATACAAAAAATAAATATATTGCCCATACATACCAGAAAACTATGTATTAACTCGTTGAATTGATGCCCWCACGTGACTTTCACGTGRCCTGGCGATTTCGGTTTCGTCTTGCTGTTGAAGATTACCATTGACCGATTCTGCACCATTCTTATACCATGTAACATGTTGCTCGTAAATCCACTTGTTATACGTTCAGTTTCAGGAATGTTATTCTGTGTTTTTAGTATAGTTTCGTTTATTGTTTTTCTATATTTTCCCATCCTATTAATTCTTTTATAAACAGTGCCCAGCTTTGGTGATTACACTTATATGCACTCAGACCTTCGCAAATACCTTCATAATTCGGTAAAAACGTTGTCATGACAACAAAATATTTCCCAGAATTATTAGATCTTTAGTGTGAATAACCAGAATTTCTTAAATGACTCCAGTGGCTTGTAGCGGTGTTAATTATTAGGATTCCCTTGCCAATACATTGTATAGAGCGTTAAACCCTACGTTTGTTCCTCGGTAAAGATTGACACATCGTGGCCAGCAGTGTTTCTCAAACCCACAGATTATTCTACAAAAATAAACGTAAACTTAACGGGCTTCATTTTTCGCGTCGAGTCGTTGAGCTTGAAGTTTTTGTCGCGTAATTCGATCTTCATCGTCATCATCTGGATTCATTCCCAAGGAAATAAATCCCCATGGCGGCTCGTCCTCAAACAAACGGCTAATCGCTAGAAGAGCACTGGACACTAGAGCAAGTCCCACAGTGAAGTATACAAAGGTGATTACGGTAAAGATGATGACAAAGGCTGGGTGATCTTTGTTTTCTGATGGATGAGAAGGGACATAGTCGCCAAAACCAATGGTACTTAACGTGATAAAACCAAAATATAGCCCTTCAAAGTACGTCCACCCTTCATACTCCATTGCTAGAGCAGCTAGTACGAGAAGCATTGATATAACTATGACAAACACTGCTATAACAGTCTTCATATGAATTGACTGTGGATCGCGATTACATATTCGTCGATCTATAAATCGAAAGAAATTGGCAATGCCTTCTGTTATTCGCTCCCCGATGGACTTGAGCATAAGGCCTGTGATCGGAATTCCAAATATGGCGTAGAAAATGCAAAATATACGCCCCCATACTGTTGCTGGGGCCATTTTACCATATCCTAAAAGAAAGAAAAAACAGATATTACATGTAAGATTTATTTTTTTGAATGAGAACACGTTTAAGTTTTGAGACAATAAGGTTAACCTATTTATGTATTTCAGGATCGAGAACACCATTTTGTAAAAGTAAAGATTTTTAGATCCAAGAGCCTTTTCGATCGATTTTTTTCTTTTGTTTCACAAATAATTCGTGTTGAAATCTGAGGTGCGTTATCTTCTGATTGTCTCAAAACCAAAGATGGCGAATTTTCGTAGGTAAGAAAATCACGCAAATTTTCTTGGATGCACGCTGGCCTTTAATTATTATTTTAAAATATATATTTTTTCTTC